ACAACTGCTCTCCTGCTTTCTTTCCATGTAAATGGGAAGACACACCAAATAATGCATTACTATAGTTCTGACATCTCTCATGCTTACACAGCTGCCTCTTCTTCACATTCAAGGCCATACAAAGGGCCTGGGGAAAGTGAGGATTCAGCTGCATTCTCTTTGTTGTTCATGGACCAGAAAACAAATAACAAACTCCGCAGAAATACCTTTCTCTTTGCCCATGGTAATCTGGAAGTGTTTGCAAAGTGTTCCCGAGCCTCTGAGTTGCAGGGAGGAGAGAGGGGAGGAAGATGGAGAGTTTATTTTTTCTCTCGCATATATCTAAAGACAGAGGAGTACTCCAGGAGAGTCAGCATGTCAGCCAGAGGGAGAGGGCAGCGGATCAAAGGAAGCTCTCAGCTCGCCTTCTGCTCATGGAAAGGAGCTGTACGGAGAAGCTAGGGAGCTAGTGCCAGGGTCACTCAACTGGAGGAGCACTTCCTGTAGGGATCAGCAGCTGATAAGGTAGGTTAGTCAGCAATTTTTTCTTTCCATCTTAAGAGCCAAGCTAGAATCTATCACTTTGGAGAAAGCCTGCACACTGCAGGCTCCAAAAACATCTGTCTGGGTGAGAACCTTTTTGCCCATCTCTGTCCTGGCCACTGCTAATGCGCAGAGATGCTGCAAATCCCAGCACCCGTGCTGTATCCAGAATGAATTCTAGGTAGGTCTGCAAGCAGGCCTCCCCAGGCCTTCTTAGCAGAGCTTCCCTTTTTCTCCTGTTTGGAAGGCATGAAAAGTTGTTGCCAGATGCACAATTTCTTACCTCCATACGCTGGAGGAAATGTTTTGTGTCTAAGGTTGCATAACTGGTTTCTGCTAATGCCAGTCTTTTTGTTTGCCTTGTGACTTAGGATGGAGGCACCAGAGGGCGTCGCTGTGCCATTGAGGCAGACATGAAGATGAAGAAATGACGCCAGAGAAAGAGGGGAAAACCCAGCACCTAACATCCAGAGCTGGAGTGCAAGCAAGATGCTGTTAAAGCTGTTAGAGGCAGAAGAGCTGCAGGTCCATTTCTGGGACCTGTTCCACCTTCTTGGCTTGAGTCTGGGAAGCGACATCTCATCAGAATGTGTTACCCAAAGAAACTTCCTTGGAGGGGAAGACTGGCCCCCCTGCCTGTTCTAGGGCAGTCGTCTTGGGCTTCATCAGTGTTCTGGTGTTAGCTAGCAACTGGTGGCTCGTATGTACTGTAATGTGAAGTGTACAGATTTCTACTAGTGATGTGTAAATGTGTATGTATATTAAAGCCTGGGGAAAAAAAAAATATCCAGTATACAGTGTTCAGTTTTCTGAGCTTCACAGCTCCCTTTGATGGGGAGCCCTGCTTTTGTACGAATGTGCGTACAGACCTTGAATTCCTGCAAATACAGCTCTCTTCCAGTTACCCTTTAAAAGCTCTGCAGTGCTTTGGTGTTAGAGGCAGTACATTAATAATTAGAATGCTGCATGGTCTTTGGATGGAGGGGAAGGTTTGCTGCCTGGATGTAAGGATATGGCACTCTTGTTATGAAATGGGACATCTGACCATGGAAAGTGGAAATGCTGCAATCTCACTGGCGCTTTCCTTAAGAGACCAGTATATTGAATGCCATGTTATTTGCCTAGAAATTTGAAAAGAGTGTATGAGTTGTGGTGAAAATCTGTTTCTCACAGCTGGAGGCATGCCTGTATCTGGTTTCACAGCAGAAACTTTTAACTGTTTTTTTTTTCAGCTGGTTATTACAGTTCTTAGGAACGTAGATGACTGAGTTTAAACTCCTGACTCCTGATTTTCTGCTAACTGTTGTGCAATTTTTTGCCCGTTTACATTCACAGGAGAAAAGAATGACAACACAAAAAATCTCATGGTCCTGATGTTTGCAGCAGCTAGAAGGTGTCTGTACGTGTGTGTGTTTGCATGTGTGCAGGACTCAGCTTTCTGTCACACAAGTTGCAGGAAGCAGTCATTACAGTTAATATAGAGGGATTGTTACCTTAACTAATGAGAGGTCTTGACTTTCCCAAGTTTTGTGTTGAAGTTTGTTGTGCCTGCTGTGTTGTGTGCCATGCTTGATTAATGTAAGGTGTATTTCCACCAAGGGTCGCTTTGTACTTGGTGCTAGAAATGTACAGTCCTTTACTTACTGATTCATTGTCCCTCACTGCTGAACTTGGGAACAGATTTCTCATTCAAATTTTTATGGCCTCCATCTCTAGAGATTCTCATGGCACAAAAAGTCCGAGGGTTCTTTTACTTTTTGGTATTTTGTGGAATAATGTAAGCTGGAAAAGATTTCTGAGGATCATCTAGTCCAACCTGCTGCTCAGAGCAGGGCCTGCTTGAAAGCTAGAGCAGATTGCTCGGAGCCTTGTCAAGTTCTGAAAATCTGCAAGGATGCAGATTTCATCATCTTTTTGGACAGCTTGTTTCAGTGCTTACCCACCCCCATGGAGTAAACATAGGCTGAATTTCCCTGATGCAGCTTGTCATCACTGCCTCCTCTCTTTTCGACGCTGGCCGCTGAGAAGAGTCTGGCTCTGTCTCCTCTGTAGCACCTCTACCTCTGTTTGTTTGTGTTGGGCAATGGAAATTCCAGCACGTGGGAGGCCTGCTGTCATGCCCACTGGTAACTTGCTTTCATTGTGGAAAGTTGCTCTTCATTCTTACCCTTGGTTTCTTCCTTTAACCATTAGAGGATTTTCCTACTCAGAGAACCCATGACATTCTAATAGCCTGTAATGATGTTGTTTAATAACTTCAAAAATCTAAAATGCAGCTTTCCCCTCTGTAGCCCTGCTGCCTCCTTCCCAGTTCACCTTCTCATGCTCTGACTCCTCATTTCGTACTTTGCAATGTTTTGTACTAATCTAAACCCAAAGCCCATGCTGCATCTCCCTAATCCACCTTCCTGCAGACAGAAATAACAACTGCTCTTTTGTTCTTCTAGTGCTATGGCGAATTCAAACTGCAAGCTACAATGTATAGGTTTGGTCACATTATATTTAAGCTTCTTAGGGGCTCACGAGTCCAAGTCATTCTGTGGCTTGCTCCCTCCCTCCAACTGTTCTAAAACCTCCCCTGTTGACATTTTAATTAGAAATAGTCTCTATCTCAAGAGAAAGTCTCTCTGCGACTTCTGTGATCTCCTCTGTGGCAACTGCTGATAATTACGTTTAATGCAGGTTTTCCACCTGACCCTGTTTTCCCACTGAGGTGTTTGGCACTGATGGTGCGTCACCCCCACTGATCATCTGGCAGCTTTCTGCCTCTGATGTTTGTTGTTGTTGTTTGCTTTTATGTCTTCAGCAAATTGTTGTCTTTTTTTCTTTCTTTTTTTCATTTGCTGGAGAGCAGGCTTTTATCATTTTCCTTGTTTTGACATGTAAATCCCTTTCAAAGTCCATCTTTAAAACTAACAGCTTTTCCTTACATCAGCAGGCGTTGCGCAGCGTCTGATCTCTGCAAAGTGAACTAAAACATTCCCGTTTGATAACGATTCCCTGTTGGCAACTTATGTAAAGTCCGCAAGGCAGTCCTTAATTAGAGGTTGAATTCCCTATCTTTCATCCCTTATTTTTGTACCAAACTGGTGTGGGACTAAGCAGGCTGTAATTACTTCACTCATCCTGCTTGTCTCGCACTAATGCTGCTGTTCTGCTCTCCGGCATCTTGAGTCTTCCAAGATTTAGTGGAGCTGAACATAAGGCCGAAGATGTTTTTAATCAGTGCTTATGCCCAAGTTACCCAGGCTTCCTGGTTTTAGATGGTTATCCCTCTGGACTGGAGTACAGAAAGATGATCACAAGCGATTGGATTACCCTAGCCTAAGGCTTTTCTGTTCCTTGGCAGAGCTGTGGTGACTGGTTATGCGTGTGCAGCCTGCTCTGCCCATGGTGCAGTGCTTTGGGCACTGGTAGTCGTCAGATGAAATCACGGTTTGCCCAACTCCTTTAGCTGGAAGCTGAGAGCAGGTAATGTTATCTCCTGCCTCATCAAATGTTATCTGCTCCTGCTGAAGTCAACTTTGAAATAGGTTTCGGGAGGGAGGCCAGTGAGATCCCAGCTCTCACTGTAAGTGCATAAAAGAAAAACAAATATGCTCATCCCAAACCCGTTGGATTCTTTATTTCTCCCAGTTATGCACCGTAGGCTGCATTTGCTGCTGTGGTAGCAGTCTTGAGAATGCAAAAGGAAGTCAGTGAGAAATGTGCTTGTTCAAGACCCTGGAAAGATTAGGTTGTACATAATTAACTGAAAACTCTAAAGAGGTTGCTAATGAATATGTAGAATTCTCCATGGCTTTCTCATCCAGGTAGCTGAGTTCACTGGCAAGATACAGATTTTTCTAAGAGCCGTTTACTGTTGTTAGGGTGATTCTGCAGGTTCCCCTGCAGAGAAGAGACTGCAGAGAAATCATGTTGGACTCATACTCTGGAAGAGGCTTAGGCATGGATTAATGAGTGGAGATGAAAGGAATGGTTTCTTCCATCTTACAAGAATGCTAACTTTATGAAACGTGCAGAACTGATCCATCAGTGGATGAGTGTGTTTGGTTCCAGTTCTGGCTCAGGTACACCAATCCTGTTAAATCACATCCGTCGTTTTCAACACAAAGGTTCTGTAGTGTTTGCAATAAGTTGTTTCCAACGTAAAAAGTTCTTACAGTACAGCGAGGGAACTTCCAGTGAGTGGCTGAGCCTTGGAGTCACCGCTGGCTCACAGCTGTCAGCAGCAATGACTTGGTTTTGAACTTGCTGCTGCCTGTCATCGGTGCCTAAACGTGTAGCATCAGACAAAGCCAAATGCTCCAAAGTAGCTCAGCATCCCCTGAGCACCAGCCAGGGGAGAGCACAGCAAAAGCACTGGAAAATCATAATTCGCTTGCTCTGAAATGTCAGTTTGTGTTGCAGAGCTACAGCCCCGCCGTGTGCTGTTAAGTGTGGGCTTAGGAGAAGGCTGCTTGCCTCACAAAGTTCTTGCTATGTTTTGGCTCTCTGAGTAAGTCAGGAAATGAACTGGGCTTTGTAGTTCTGGACCAGGGTACAAAGAAATTGCTGTTTCTCTCTTTGTGTTTGTTTGCAGATGGGCCATCCCTGGGTGTGGTGCAGTTCTGAGTCGGAGTCAGAGGACAGTGACTTGCAGTCTCTTCTCAGCTGGCATTCAAGTTTGGATCTGGAAGTGGGAAACTGGAGGGATTCCGAAGAGGTGGCTATAGGGAAGCCAGAGGAAAGCAGCCAAGAGACAGACAGCAGGCTGGAGTTCAGTGATCCTCTCTGGGAGGAGGATGATAGTGAAGACTTCCAAAAGGCAGAGAGGCAATATGAAGATGACAGTCTTCTCCAGTTCTTCTCAGAGGTACGGCTGTTTGGATGACAGCAAAGTGGGCTGCATAGTTCTGGCCTTGAAATAATAGAGTTTTCAGTCTCTCCACCATTCTGACAACAGAAATATTCTGGGGGAAACGCAGGTGCCCAGAGTTAATTTGCTCCCTATTCCAAGCCCAGTCCTTGCTCTCGTTTAAAACTGGCACAGCAGCCAAGCAGCTGCTTTGCCAAAACACAGCTCACCCTAAAGCACAGAGATGTCACTGAGCTGAAACTGAAATAACAACACAGGGCTTCATCAGAAGATTTTGCAAGGATTCCTAAAAATGGAAAGAAGTGAGTGAGTGAAAGCAAAAATAGCATTTGTGCTGCTTATTTTTTCTTCCCTTTGCCTTCACAATTTGAAGCAATAAATCTCTGCATTACAGATAACCCAGTTGCTGGAACCTCTCCGCGTCAGCTGCACAGATTCAGCAGAGACTCAATGGGATTGTTCTGGCTCTGGGAAGCAGGATGATGGGGGAGATCTAAGATGCCAGGAAGAGACCACCAGGACAGTTGTCTCAAGAGCAGAGGAAAGTCAGCCACATGTCCTGGCAGAAGATGAAAAAGAACACTTCTCAGGAAGAGAGGTAGGAGAGAGGTGGTCCTAAGAGAGGTGAGGTGGTGAAGGAAATCATCTCTAGCAGAGATGGGGAAGTCCCATGTTCCAGCTGGGGAGAGAGGAATGCAGAAGAGGAGACAGCAGGGAGGTGAATGCAAAGGAAATGTATGAGGGGAAGGATGGTTTTTGTGTATGGATGTGCATCTTTATGAACAGGAAGCTTGTTACAGATCAAACCCTCAGATGTGAGTTGGAGGAATTGCTCCTTGGCAATACAAAGGTGACTCATGAGAGCTGGCAGTCTGCTCTCAGGTTTAATGCAAGACTGGAATACTTGGTTTGTTCTAATTACTGTGTTATGCAGCACACAGCTTGGCTGGTTTCAGGCCCACGTGGATGTACAAGCAATACCAACAACCATCTGCCCCAGGAGACCGTCATGTCTTGGAAGCAGGCACTGTCTAGCCTGTGTTTGCACTAATCCTGTGTCTGGGGGACACTCAGCTCTCACCAGCCTGTGAGGTGTTGCTGGAACAAGCTATAATATCACAGCAGTGGAAGAACAGTGCCTGGTTTTTCAATCCAGTACTCAGTTGGTTGCCTTGCAAACTTAGACACTGGAGGCAGAAATGATTTCCAGGGTTGTTCTGTGATTCTGTAGCAAGGGACTTCGTTTAATGGGGAAGTATTGGTGATAGGTGGATGGTTGGATTAGATGATGTGGGAGGTGTTTTCCAACCTTGGTTGTTCTCTAAGGGTTTCACATTTCACCTGTTAAGCCTGAACAGGGTTATTCTGAGCAGTTCCCTTGTGGTCTGCCCAGCGGTCAAAGCCATACATAGCAGTGTCTGTGTTCCTTCTGAGGTGTCTGGTCTATGCTTCAGATCTCATGTTAGGCAATTCTCAAGAGTCCCACTTCTGCACTCCAGAAGTGTCTTTCCCTGCATCTCCTTTTCATTTTATTGGAAAATCACTGTGCCAACAGCACAATTCTCCTTCCTGGCTGAGTCTATTCTCTGTCATTTTCATGTGGGAGTTTTTGAGGAAACAACCCTGTTGTACTCTTGGGGATCCTGTTTTCTGTGTCTTGAGGTTTAACAAGCCTGAGGCAGTCTTACCTCAGCTCCTGATTGCTCTCTGTATATCCACAACTCTTCCCAGAAAAGAAGACAGACACACCTCTGGGCACCAGTCATCTCCACAGTGTTTGTGTTAGCTGGAGGTGGTTGTGATCCAAGAGATCAAACCCAGCTGTTACTGGAGTCTTGGCCAGCACAGTGAAGGTCTGAATAAGGTCAAACATCATCTTCTAGAATAATACAGAGAGACGTAACTCCCATTTGAGGTTGGATGCAGTAGGTGCATATGCAGCAGGCTGGTTTCGGCTTAAGGGATTCAAGTGGTGAGCTGCCATTTTAACCAGATCTCCATTTTCCTCTGTGCTCTGCAGGACAAGACTCAAGAGGCACCTGGAGAAAAAACTCTGTGTGAACCAGATTCACAGGAGATTAACCAAGCCCAGGATCAAGATGATAGCAACTGCACTTCTGCAGACCCCATGTTGGGCTCCACAAGCCCTGCCAACCCACAGCTGTAAGTCTGTCTGCACTCCTGCAGGTGTACCAGAACAATTGTTTCCTTTGGTTCACATCAAAAGATGTATATGGCACAGGTCACCTCTAGGAAGGTGAGATACCCACGGAGAGCAGGAGGGAAGGAGCTAACTTGTACTGTCTCTATGGGTCTGCCAGTATTTTTTAGCACTTACCCCAAAAGTAAGTAATAAGAGTAGTGGATAAATAAGGTTAACTGGAAAATACATGTTTCTTCAAGGCAGCTAGGCTTTGTTTAAGCTTGGCGTTGTGCTTTATTGGGTAATGTCCAGTCCAGCTCTTAAGAGAGGCATTACCTTTAAGCAAGCACAGGCTTGTCAGTCACACATGGGCTTTACCACTTGTATGATTACCTAGGCTGTCTTTAGAAGGAATACCATAATTTCATGGGATAGGAATCTGAGTTTAAAAATGAGCTTCAGAGTAGTGTGAGCTTTTCTGTCCAGCTTGCCCCTTAGAGCTGCTCAGCTCTATCTTTGTTCCAGCATGTCACCCTGCATCTTCCTGCATTCTGGATGCTTAGTTGTGTGTTCAGATGCAGAACACTTCCACCATTGCTTTGTGTAGCTAAAGAAAAAAGATCTCTGGGCTTTATCCATCTGGATGTGATGGGTGCACCAATTCATGCTTTGTCTCAAGTGTAACAATCTGGCATTATATACCCTCCACAGGATGCAGTTGAGCTGGGATAACCCCATGCAGCATTCTCATTTCAAAAGAACTGTCCTGTCCATCTGGAAGATGATAGCCAGTCATAGGTATGTAGGGGCAAAGGGTCAAATTGACATTATATTATGTGCCAGTTCCTATGTCACCTTGTCCCCCTTCCACAACAGACACCACGGGATGGTGTGTCTCTACATGGCTTTGCTTCTAGCTGTTCTTGTTGCAAGAAGATTGTTCTTGTGTGTTGCAAAGATTGAGAGAACACTGCATACTTATTTCCTCTGTGTAACATGCCAGAGTCCAAGTGTTGCTTCCTACACAGCTGGCAAAGACAGCTTCAGCAAGGGGCTCAGCCTCCTCCCATGCCTGGCTGTGCCAGCTGCTGAACAGCAGAAGCTGCTGATGGGCTGTGGCCCTCATGGCCATCAGTAAGAGGCAAGCATTGGTCCTGCTGCCACGTTGTCTTTGGCCCCTGCTCAGGAGCAGACAGAGGTCATTCTTTGTGCTTGTCCTTGTAGATGCAGTGGCCCATTCCTGAAGGCAGTGTCAGACAAACAAGCTCCTGGATACAGTGAGGTGGTGAAGAGGTAAGTTTGTGCAAGAACTATTCACTACCTGATTTCTCTGTTTTCTCCGCCTTCCTCTGGCACCCAACAACTGGTTCGGGTCATCTCTGGTTCCAAAACACTAATGGGACTGTTTCCTTCCTTCTGTCCCACAGAGTCTGGCTGCCATCAGCATCTCCCACTGACTGACTTCTGTTATCAAAACTCCCTTCCAGGTGACCAGGACCTAGAAGTCTGCAGTCACCATGGTGCTGACATGCATTGTGCCTGCCCTTTGCTGGCCTTGCATGGACTGACGTACTGCAGTTCAGCTCTGCAGCTGTGCCCCTTGCCTGAGCTGGGGATTCAGCCTCTGTAGCCCAGCAGTTTCCATGTTGGAAACCTGTGTCTCTGTCAGTATCCACTCTGCTTTCTCCCCAGATGTAGTCTCAGTGGAGAAGTAGGTTATAAGAATATCTCCCAGATAGATTAAGGGCATTTTTCAGAGCTGAATCATGTTCTATTCTGGTCACAGTCATCCTCTCTGCAGCCATTCATTTTCTCATTGTGTCAAAATAAGGGAAGTCATATTTATTCCCCGTCACGTTCCCCTATCAGCGGTGCTATTTTGGCTAGTGGCACCATTTGATTTTAAGGGGTTTTAATAGATCCCTATTTTAGCAACTTTTCTTTCTCCTCCAAGACCTGGGCTGACTTCATGAGGACTAATGGGATCGCTCTTGAATTCCCTGCAGCTCCTCATGACATTTGTTAGACGTGGCAGCCGATGGCCGATGGACCACGCTGGCTGAACTTTAACTGAAATGAAACCAACGCTTCTCACTGCCCCACATAGCCCCAGGCGCTAAAACTGATTGCAGAGAGCTGTGCTTTAGGGCCACGACGCAGAGGGCCTTCAGCTCTCCTTCCATGTCCTTCCTGCAGGCCCATGGACCTGACCAGCATCAAGAGGGGTCTGGCCAAGGGCCACATCCGTTCCTTGGCGCAATTCCAGTGCAGCCTGATGCTCATGTTCCAGAACGCCATCATGTATAACGCCGCCAACCACCACGTGCACCGCATGGCGCTGGAGATGCGCCGCGAGGTGCTGGAGCAGATGCAGATGCTGGGCGAGGCCCTGCTCCGCTCGGAGCACCGCAGGTAGCGGGGCGCCGCGGGGCCGGGCAGCGGGCCGCGCTCGGCGTCGGGGCGGGCCGAGAGGCGGGGCGCGGGGCCGGGCGCCGCTCGTCATTGGTTAAGGCGCCACGGGGAACGGCGCTCATTGGCTGGCGCTCGCGCGGCGGTCGTGAATCGAGCTGCCGGGCCTTGCGTGCCCCGGAAGTGGAAGCGGCCGCCGGCAGCGCGCGAGCATGGCGCGCGAGAAGCAGGAGGAGCCGGCGGCGGAGGCCGCTCCCGAGTTCTCGTACCGGGAGCAGCTCGAGCACCTGAACCCCATCGCGCAGCCGCTCGCCTCTCGCAAGCTGACGCGCAAGCTCTACAAGTGTATCAGGAAAGGTGTGGTGGGTGCCGGGAACGGGGCGGGGGGCTGGCCGGGGCCGCGCAGCTCCTCACGCGGTGCCTCTCTCGCAGCGGCCAAGCACAAGCAGATCCGCCGGGGCGTGAAGGAGGTGCAGAAGTTCATCAACAAAGGCGAAAAGGGGTAAGCCACGCCCTCACCCTACGGCGCGGCGCGGGGCGGCCGCTGACACGGGTTTTTCCTGCAGGATCACGGTGCTGGCCGGCGACACGCTGCCCATCGACGTGTACTGCCATATCCCCATCATGTGCGAAGACAGGAATCTGCCCTACGCTTACGTCCCCTCCAAGTCGGTAAGGAGGAGCCCGTGCTGGTTGGCTGCAGCTGGGCTGCTCTGTGCCAGGGCTGTGCTGGGGAAGGAGGCATACGTGGGGTGCCCAGCAAAGCACCCTGTGCTTGAGCAGCGCCAGAGCATAAGGGGAGCAAACAGCCACAGCCCAGGTGTAGAGCTGTTTTGTGACAGGACCCCAGAACTGTTTGCCCCAGTGGAGCTCTCTGGGGCAGAGCCAGGACAGATGTCTTTTTTCTCCTTTAGTTCTGAACTGGGACCTGGATGCATACAGAAAGGAAGCACTGACCAAGGTGTGGTTTTGGGAGATGTCCCTCCCTGCTCAGACCAAGGGTTAGAGGTGGTCACTGCCTTCTCTGCTCCGGGTGAGGAGTGGGACACAAGAGGCCGATGTCAGGCACTTATGTCAGCCCTCCTGGGCAAAACTAGGAAATCTTCTTGGGCTGCATCAACAGAAGGGTGGTATCAGGGCAAGGGGGATTGTCCCCCTCCGCGCTGCCCTCATGAGGCATCACATGCTGCATCCAGGCCTGGGGCTCTCAGCACAAGAATGGTTCTGAGCTGCTGGAGCTTTTCCGGAGGGGGGCCACAAAGATGCTCAGAGGGCTGAAGCACCTCTCCTACGAAAAAAGGTTGAGGGAGCTGGGCGTATTTCACTTAGAGAAAGCTCTGGGGTGGCCTTGTTGCAGTACTTGAAAGGAGCTTATAAGCAGGAGGGGGACCAACTTTTAACATGATTTAATAGTGATAGCACAAGGGGTAATGGCTTTCTACTGAGGAGGGAAGGTTTGGGGGAGATGTTAGGAAGAAATTCATTACCCAGAGGTTGGCGTGGCACCGGCACTGCTGCCCAGAGCTGTGGGTGCCCCATCCCTGGAGGTGCTCAGGACCACGTGGGATGGGGCCCTGCATAGCCTGAGTTGGTGGGGGGCTGCCAGCACAGGGCAGGGGTTGGGACTGGGTCAGCTTTCAGGTCCTTCCCAATGCAACTGTTCTGAGTTGCCTGCTCTCAGGAGCTTGCAGGGCCACCTTCCCGTGTCCCAGCAGGGTGTCAGGCTCTGTCTGTGCGGGCTGCCCACTACCCCCAGCCTTCTGCTCTCCTGCAGGACCTCGGGGCCGCGGCCGGCTCAAAGCGACCCACCTGCGTCATCCTGCTGAAGCCACACGAGGAGTACCAGGAGGCCTACGATGAGTGCCTGGGGGAGGTGGAATCCCTGCCGCTGCCCTTGTGACCTCCGGGGGCACCGTTTCTACGGTTGGGTGGGGGGCGCTGATGACGAATAAAGCTGTTGGGATGTTTGTAAGGCCGCGCCCGGTGCCCTTTGGGGTGCGGGCTGGGGGTCCGCCGCGCGGAAGGGGGCGCCCGGCGTGGGGGGAGCGGGGCGGGGGGGCGGGGCCGGCTGCTGCGCGGCGGAAGTTGGGGGCGGGAGGCGATGCCCGTCCCGACGGCGGGGCCCCGGAGCCGCCCCGCGGGGCTCGGCCTGTCCCTCGGGCCCCGGAGCCGCCGTGAGTCAACGCGGTGAGATGCCCGAACCGGTTGTGCCGCTCGCTCCGCGCCGCCTCCCTCCTTGCCGCGCCGGCTGAGCCGGGCGGGAGCTGCGGAGCGGGGGCGACCACCGGGAGCGGGGCCCGAAGCCCGGGCTGCAGAGCCGCGGCTTTCAAAGGAAGCAGAATTCGGAGGAACGAAATCTAGGTTTATTGCAGGAAAGGCCGAGGACGTTACAAGCGCGGCCAGGGCTTCTTCCACGCCTCTCCCCGTGCCCTCGGAGGAGATATGGGGTGCCCCATCCCTGCTCCCACCTCTCCCGTGGCGCTGCCTCCTCTCAGCCCCAGGACTCCGTGCTGGGGAGCTGCATTAACCACCCCTTATCCCACCAGCACCACGGCACGGAAAGGGCTCAGCTGCAGCGCTGGGGCAGCTCCCCCTCTCCCTGCGCGCACCTCCTCCAGGGCTTTCCCAGCAGCAGCAGCAGCACCACCTCGGCCAGACCCAGGGCACTGATTGCTCCCAGGACCCCGCTGGAACCCACAAAAGGGCCGTGGGGATGGGGACAGGGCTCGAGCCTCTCCCTAGCATGATATTAAGTTACAGGTTGAAGGGAAAAGGGGAACAGAGCGGGAGGGATGGGGAATGGCTCACAGGGCATTCGGTCTTATGCCCCCAATGGCAGAAGGGAGTGCAGGGCAAATGATCCTGGAGTCAGAGCACGGGGCACATGCAAGACCCCTGGTACAGATGATCCCCCCTCCAGCGACCACCCCTGATGGGCCCGAAGCACTGCAAGAAGGAAAAGTTCCCTTGTCGTGATCAGTCCTTCTTCCCAGGGCGGCAATGAGTGGCGAGTCCTTGTGCAGCCCCTGAGATCATCCACTGCAGCAGCAAGAGACCCCCCTTCGTGGTCCCACAGGCATCGTGCTGCTCAGATCTTCGAGGACTCCACCCGCTCAATCCATGGCGAGTCAGCCCCGACATCCCTGGGCTCCGAGCGCAGCTGCCGCAGCTCGCGCTCCAACACCTGGCTCCGGTGGTACATCTCCATGTAGCTGGCCTGGAGCTCCCGCTGGTACCGCAGCACCTTCTCCTTCTCCTCCTGCCAGGTTTTCCTCTCCAGCTCAAAGTTCACAGCCTGCAGCTGGCCCTGGCGCCGCTCCCGTAGCAACTCTGCCCACAGCCACTCCACCTGCCGCTCCAGGGGCTCCGCTGAGTCGCTGTGGAGGCCCCGGCACTTGGAGTCATCCGTTTCACAGCCAGGGAAGTCCTGGCATGCCGGCATGGGGTCATCGCCCAGCGGCAGCGAGGTGCCAGGCTCCGGGGGGCTCTGGAGGGAATCAGCCAGTTGTGCCAGCTGGGAGTCCCTGGCCTGGACCTCCGCCTTGGCCTCCCGCAGCTGCGTCTTCAGGCTGAAGATCTCACCCAGCTTCTGAGCCATCTCCTCCTGGGTATCTCGGAGCTGCTGCTTCAGCAGGGAGATTTCTGCTGCCTTCTGACACACCTGCAAGGCACAGGTGAACAGTGAGGAAGCAGCAGGATCTCAGGGGTGGCAGCACCCCCGACTGTCAACACAGCGTCACTGGGAGAGCATGAGAATCATGCCTGGCTCTTCCCCCCATCCACAAGTCCACAAGTGATAGAGCAGAGAACCACTGCCCCATCCTGGCTGCACAGCCTGAAGGGTGGCAACAGAGAGGGACAGCAGGGGACTCACCTCCCACTTGGTCTCCTCCAGTTTGGGGCTGACATGCTCACCCTGGGACTGCCGGAGCTTGGTCTCCTCGCACTGGCACTGCTGCATGCTCAGCTCCTCCTGCAGCCGCTTCTTCTCTTGCTGTGCTTTGTAGAGCTGCAGCTGCAGCGCCCGCTGGCCGCGCTGTGCCTGCTGTGTGACCTGCTGCAGCCTGGCCATGTACATCTGCTTCAGGTCCTCCAGCTCGTCCAGCCACAGCCGCTGCTTGTCCTCAAATGCCTGCCGGCACAGAGAGACACTGGTGAGGGTCCACATCCTGCCCCTGTGTGGGACAGTGCCTGGAAGGATCCCAGGAGATCCTGCTGCCAGGACATCCCCAGCTAGACCCAAGGAACAGAGCTTCAGTGGGAGGTTCCCAGCCTGATTTTGCAGATGCTGCTGCCCCACAGGCCGTGACAGTGAGTTCTCCCATGTTTGGGCACCCACCAGCCATCATGGCAGGGCACCAGGCCCTTCACAGCTCCTTCCACCCAGACACCACCTCCCCACAGCCCCACTTCTCACCTGCGCAAAGGGGTCCTCGGTCTCACTGAGGCTCCTCTTGAGCTGCCGCAGCTCTCCCCCAGTCTCCTTCAGCCGATCTTCCAGCTGCTTCACCGCATCCTCCAGGGAGTAGGTGAACTCATAGGGCGGTGGGGGCTCCCCAGGGCTCTGCAGCCGGCTCAGCGTGGCCATGCTCTTGCAGGACAAGGGTGCCTTTTCAGGAGCCAGGGGGTCCCTGGGGCTCCGGGACACCCTGTCCAGAGAACCTCCAATGTGGTTGATGTGGCCCATGGAGGCACTGAACTGACTCTGGGCAGGCTTGAGGCGGGAGCCATAGGAGGGGAAGCTCTGGATGGAGTTGTGGCTGGAGTCAGAGGCTTCATCCAGGCTGATGGCGTGGAGCAGGTGGGTGCGGAGCGGGCCATGCTGTGGGGCCGCCGTGGTGCTCTGCGACAGCAGCGTGTGCAGGCTCCCATTGCTTTTGGACAGCTTTTGCCCCTTGGATGAGGAGAGGCCTTGCATGGAGACCAGCCCCTTCCCAGTCACTGCCTTGAAGGCCGAGGGCCTGATGCGGCACTGGAAAACACAAGCAAGATCAGGCTGGGCCCCACCAGCACGCACCATGCCCAGCTCCACTCAGAGAAAATGCATGCTCACAGCCTCATCCCTTCACCCAGATATCCAAATCCCCATGTCCCACCTCCCATTCTCGGCACATTCAGCTCATCCTCCAGCCCCATCCACCCCACAGCAGGACACGCTTTAGGGACAAGTCTCATATTTCACCTTGTCGAAGCGGCCCCTCTCAGGCAGCGAGCTTTTGGAGAAGTCAGCTCCGCGGTGATGCTCCCGGGAGCAGCGCTCAGGGGATCGGTTCTCGCGGTCACTCTCGTAGTCCCGCTTGTAGCACGCTCCTGATGCCTGGTGCTTCCGTTCTGACCGGGTCTCCTTTTTGGCTCCGTGCAGGTATCCGAAGAGCTCCCGCTGGCTCGGCCCCTTCCGCAGCAAGCCATCAGGCTGCCGAAGCCCCCGTGTGCCCCCCAACGGGGCCCGCAGCTCCAGGGGGGACAGGTCCTGCTTCTCCACCAGGCTGCCCACGCTGCCCATGCTGCCAACGGGCACAGAGGAGAGGTAGGTGCCGAGGACGCGGGTGTCAGGCTCGCAGCTCACAGGGCCTTGTGCTGCTGCCATGGAGAATCAGAGAAAAGCCCGGTACCAGCACTGCCGAAGGAGAGACAAAGTCAGCATGGTGGTGTAAACGGGACCGCAGGCCCACCACGGATACCCTGCTTGCAGCAGGGGCGTGGAGATGCCCATTCAGCCCTACATCCTAGCACTCAAATGAGGGGGACCCCAAAGGGCCACGTCGGCAGCCAAGCAAGCAGGGCTCTGTCGTGCATGGGGCAGAGCAGGGGTGGGGGCTCCCCGCTGCCACCCCCCATGGCTCAGCGCCTCCCTCCCACACCCAGCCCCACCTCCCGCCCGCGGCCGGGGCTGCCACCAGAACAGGCACCTGCCGCCCAGCCTGTTCGGGAGGGCGAGTTCAGCAGCCGGCAGCACCTGCCTGGGCCTGGCGCCAGCCTCGGCCCGGCGGCACCCAGCTGCCCCTTCCCAGGAACCCCCATATGGCACTGGTCTTCCCCCTCCCCGTACCCGTGGCTACCGAGGGCCAGCACTGGCCCTAGGGGTGCCCAAGACCCCGATCCATTCCTTCTCAAGGGCTGCAGGAGGACGCTGCTACAAACGACCCTGGGGAGGTCCCAGCCCTTTTGGCTCAACCTCTCCCTGGGACGTGCGCATCAGCCCGCAGCCCAGCACAGCCGGACGTGGGACGGGAAGGGGAAGGATGCAGATGGGACAATGCAGGCTTCCTGCACAGGTGGCCGGACCCCGGGGGAGGAAGGCGGGCAGCAAGGCTTCAGCCTCAGTGCCTCATCCTCACGCAGCGGGGAGGGCCTGCTGGGGATCTTCAGGCCCCCGACCCTCAAATTACAGCCTGAGGGGGAACCCCGGTCCTGGAATGAGGGCCGGGGGGCCCGAGGCTCCCCGCCAGGCCCCGTCTGTCGGGCCTCACCCAGGAAGCTGCCCTGGTTCTCAGCACACACGCCGGGTAAACAAACACCCCGCTTTTAATTGCTGCCACGCACAAACCTGTCTGACAGCTCCCGGCCTGCGCTGTCACCTCCCTCCCTCGGCTCAGCACCTGCTCCGGGCACCGCCGGCGCGGAGAGAGGTGGAAGCGGGCGGGGAGAGCTCAGGGGGGGCGCGGGCCCCGGCCCGGAGCACGGCACCGCCGAGGCCCCTTCCCGCGCCCAGGGCGCTCGGCGGCGCCATCGGCCCCGGGAGCGGGGAGCGGAGCGCGGCGGAGCGCAGGGGGCGATGCTCGGCGGATCCCGCGGGAATCCGGGGCCGCGCTCGGCCGAGGCGCGCCGCGGCCCGAGGACAAAGCGCCGCGGCCGCGCGGAGGGGCGGGGGGCGGCACCGGGGCACCGTCCGGGGCTCTGGGGGTTACCGGGACGGGAACGGGCGGCGGGGCCGGGCCGCACTCACCATGCCGGCGGCGCTGCGGTCCACGCGCGGCTCCGCTCCTTCCCTCGCCGCGTTTGAACGCGCCCCTCGGCCGCGGCCGCGCGGGGAGCGGGCGGAGCCGGCAGCGGCAAATCGCGGCGCGGAGGCGGGAGGCGCCGGGGCGGGGCGGCTGCGGGGAGGGGCGGCGGAGCCTGGCGGCGCGGACGCGGTGCCCTGCGGCCTCCCCGGGAGCGGAGCTCCGAGGTTCGGCCCCGCGTGCCCTCCACGGTGCCCCGGCCGCCGTCGAGGTGTCCGTGCGGCACCGCGAGGGCACGGAGCGTCCCTCGGCCTTTCGGCTGGGTGACCCGCAGCGCTGCGGCGTGCCGCATCCCGGCGCCTCGGTGCCCGCCCTCCCGCGGAGGGTTGGTGCTCGCGGCGTCCCCAGCCGAGGTTCGGGGCCGCCCACATCCGCCGTGCTCTCTGCCAGCTCCCCCCTCGGTGTGTGCTGCCAGCGCTCACCCACTCGCACACGCCGTCCCCGTCCCCGCACGCTCGGTGCGGTGCCGAGGCTCTCGCCGTGTTCCCTGAAGCCACGCGTCACCCACGTGGCCTCCGAGGTGCGGGGCTGCGGCCCTGACCCCCCCGGGGCTGCTGGGAGCGCAGCCAGGCGCGGCTCCGGGACGCGGGCAGCTCCGAGCGGGCTGTCATCCATCTGCAGAACGCGGTGGGGAACGGCCTCGGCCTTTCCTGCTGCGCCTTTGCTAAGAGCCCGGTGCGTGGGGAGAGCGGCCCCGAGCGACCTCCGAAACGCATTCAGGGCTATAAAAGGAAGCCGGGTCCCCAGCGAGGTGCCTCTACCACAAAAGCACCCGGAGGATGAGGGGGCTGCGAGCAGAGCTGCGAAATAACTGCCAGGCAGCGGGAGAGGAGCCTGCAGCGCTGAGCGAAGTACGAGCTGCACATATGCTCGCTGCTTTCTGCACAGCTCTGTGAAACTGTGCCATCTATTTCGAACAGCGTGGAGAGAGACTGTTATCTGTGCTCTGCCACCAGCACACAGCTGATGGACACCAGCCGATCCCAAAATCTGAGCGATGGAGAGGGGCTGGTTGCAGCTGCAGTGCCACGGGCCTTCCAAAGGTGATGATGGGCTGGCATCTTCCCCTTCCGTCAGCAAAGGACACTGTGGGGATTGGGGATGCCTGCACGCATGCATTGGAAACGACCTGTGGGCTACATGCAGAACAAAAATGGCTGCGAGTGGGTGTCAAGACTGAATTGCCAGGGTGGAGAGGCCTTCGAGGCTCTGGGATGGCACATCCCCTTCTGCCCTGGGGCAAGGACAGGCCTGGAGCTGGGGAGGAGCTCGCACTGCCTGCGCGTGGGATGATGCAAGGAGCAAGGGCTGGTCCTCATCACAGCTTTGACCCTTCCATGAAGGCAGCACACTGCTGTGTGCAGCACCAACTCCTCAGCAGCAGATAATGGCAGGAGCCACCAGAATCTGCTCCCTGTGGTTCACAATCCCTGTACTCAGATCCATCACTGTCACTTCCCTCAACTCAGGGCTCCTACCAGGAGCTGCCATGTCTCCATGAGACAGGAACCACTTGGCTTCCCGGGATGGCGACAGCTTCCATCTGCAGGCACCCAGCAAGGGAAGTGCTCCAGAAGATAGCAGCACCTGAAACGTGTGCCAGTTCCTCACAGCGGCCCCACACATGGCACCACCTGTGTGCCAGCACAAGCTTGCAGTAGCATGGCAGCAATTCACCTTGCAGCACAAGCAGAGGCCAGGCCAGGCTGCAGGAGGAACCCAGAGCTGGCAAGGGGCAGAGAGACCTTTCTGGCATCCCCACTCCTGGATCCAAGCTGGAGTGCCCGGGGTGCCTTCCCAGCAGCCAGGCAGGGATGTTCTCCCCCACTCCCTACCTCCTGCCCCAGGATACTCTCCCAGCAAACAGTGGCAGTGCATCTGCTGCCTCCCACAGGCTGCTCCTGCCTCTGTTCCCTGTGGCTGCCTGCAGCAGATCTCCGAGTCACTGCGAGCAGATGCCTTGATAGTTCTTTATTGTCCTCTGAACTGGGTGGCAGCTCAGCCGTACCCAGCACAGGAAAAACGCCTCCTGCACCTGCCCTGGGAGACAGCAGCATCACTCACAGCAATGCCATGGAGTCCTGCTCTTGGCCTCTTCTGCTGATCCCAGCAAATTCAAGCACTCAGCCCTTTCTGCTCCTCTGGGTCCTGCCAGCAGCACTGTGCTGGCCTGCTGCAAAACTGCCTCGTTCCAAGCAGCTCGGCGCAGCCCTGGCGTCTTGACATGAGCACAGCACATGCTGACACGTGAGACACAGCTCAGCCAAACGTGCACCACGGTGTCTCACTCATGTCGCAGTCCAACAGGATGTTAAGGACAGTGCAGGGGGCTCCTGCCACAGTCAGAGCAGTCCGAGACTCAATCCGGTATCTCACGTTGTTCAGACCTCCCTCCCGATCCACCTTAAACTGCTCCTGAGAAGAAAGAGCATTCAGGCCAAAGCATCTGGTGCTGAGATAGAGAGCAGAGTGAGCAGGGAAGGGCTCAGGGCACGTGGCAATCACAGCCCGCATCTCTCACAGCTCACCTGCTTCTGTGCAGCAATGCGCTTCTGGTCTCTCTTCCTCCAGGCTGGATCATGAAGGTGCTGGAATGTCTCATACCCAGTTGTGATTCCAGAGGGACGGTGAACCTGGGAGGAGAAAAACGCTTCCATACAGCTCCTGAAAGCCTGCCTGCATGTGGGAAAGCCACCTGCCCTCGTGCCAGCCCTGGTGGCTACAGCAGGGGACAGAAAGGGGGATGAGAAGAAGAGCATCTTCAGCCAAGGAGGCCCCCGAGCACACTCACCTGGAGACCAGCTCCTTTGATGCGTCGATAAAACTCGTCGTCCTCCCGTCCCCAGCCCCAGAAGCGGTTGGACATGCCATTGCACTGCAACAAGAGCGGCACCGCACTGCTCTCCTGCAGCAGCCAAACACCACCACCACCCCCAGCCCCGAGCACAGCTGCAGCCTGCACTGCGCCATCAGCTCAAATCACAGATTGCTTCTCTGTCTTTCAAAGCGTGGGGCACTACACACACACACCAAGATTTCATTGTACACCCAACCACAAAGCAGGAGGGGGGTTAAGCTCACCATCTCATAATGCTGCTTGGTGAGCAGCAGGATCCCTCCCACGTAGGTTTTGTAGTGGTACAGCGGGTGCAGCTCTGGGGATGCCACGTGGAAGGGCCCGGCCTCGGGGAAGCCATAATCCAGCTGCTCGTTGAGGGGCAGCAGGTCGACGTCGTGCATGGCGATGTAGTCCGTGTCATTGCCGCTCTCCAGGAAGCCCACGTTGATCAGCGACGCTCTGTTAAACCTGCAATGGAAACGGGTTCAAGTTGCCGCCCTCTGCATGCGCACCGCACGGCATCCCCTGGCTTTGCAGCTCCCGTACCTGAAGTGGTCCACCTGGTTGAGCACCAGGATGTGGTGGCGGATCCTCTTCTTGCTGAGGAAGCGGTGCATGTAGGGTACGAAGGCCAGCAGCTCCTCGAAGCGCTCGCGGAAGGGCACGAGCACTGCCAGGCGGTGCGGCCCCCACGAAGGGTCGTCGGCCGGAGGGGCGGGGGGTTCGGGCAGGCAGGGCGGCCGGGGGGCCCCGCGCCCGGGGGGAGCCGCTTCGCCCGAGCAGCTGAGCTGCAACCAGAGCAGCGAGGCGAAGCCCAGCAGCAGCGCGAGGAAGAAGAGCTGGAAGATGGAGAACTTGCCGGCTAGGAGACCCAGGAGCTGCGGGGAGCTGGAGCACAGCGGGCGGTCAGCAGGGCTCCTTCCCATCCTTCCTCCCCTCCCCCCCCCC